AAAAAAAAAAAAAGTTCCCCAGGACATGATGAACCAGCGTAGGATAGAGGGGAATGTTTCTAACCGCGAGTGACATCTACTCATGAAAAATGTTTTATTTGTGGAGTTCTTGGGAAAATTTTGAACTTTCTCAAGGTAGCGAAATTCTCGCTGCGCCATAAAATTTCGATAATTCGATACTTTTTGAGTAAGGTTGTCCCTGTATTCATGGGTTGGATTGAGTTTTTTTTTTTTAGATTCTGAAAACCCAAATACTGACAAAGTTTCACGTTTTAGATTCCTTTCTCGGATTTCCTGTCAAACGCGCTGGCGAAAGATCCGTTGACCGAGAACAACGGAGAGAAATTGCAGCGACTCAAAGCCGACGTAACAAAGAAGACTTCATTCGATGACTTGATTGCGGTACTTGATAGCGCCCTGAGTGATGCTTGTCGTCTGAAACGAAAAACAAGTTGGTACCTTCTTATCACATAAACGAAAGGCATTTTTGATGATTATTTTCTGATCCATTCGTTATTCAAGAGCAAACTGAATCGCCCCGGCTGCAAAGGCAAGAAAGGTGTTTGAAGTTCGCCATTGAGAGTCTGGAAAAGGCACGTGACTTGAAAAAGGATTCCTCGCCGGTAACGGAAATTTCGGATTTTGTTGAAGATGCAGCCATTGCAATCAATAGTGAAGATGAAGAAAACATTACAACGCTGCCATTGAGAGTCTGGAAAAGGCACGTGACTTGAAAAAGGATTCCTCGCCGGTAACGGAAATTTCGGATTTTGTTGAAGAAGCAGCCATTGCAATCAATAGTGAAGATGAAGAAAACATTACAACGCCTGGAAAGAAGAGCAGCAGACGGAAGAAACAGCTGAATGTTTTGTCTCGTTTTGAATTGCAGAAGGTGTGTGAAATTGCCTTCTTTTTTTTTTAAATGTCACTCTTGGATGTGTGTGTATTTGCAGTGTAAGTGAATCAAACTTTATTTTTAGACTTGTATACAGTTGAACCTCGATAACTCAAACCTCTGAAGTCGACTGCGAACTATTTTGAAGTTCATGTACAGTATCTGGATTCCCCAAGAAACAATGCATTAAAATCCTTCCTGACTCGAATGCTTTCCCCTTCGAACGTGCGAAAATCGAATTTTCTGGAGGCATTTTGGCTGTTATTTTTTTGACACAGGTAAAAGAAAAGCAATTAGACGACATTGGTCAAATGAACGCCTGTCTCCAAATTCGACATCCTGTCAACTCATATCAGAGGCAATTCGAAGAATCAGAATAGCATAAATTACAATCTCATGTAATTATTCCAATATTGAAAAATTTACAAATCTTCTCATTGACAGTGTAGCAGTTCTTACTACTGTATTATGATCCTATTTTGAAAGAAGCTTTGATATTGGCAACTTTTTAAAAAATCGATTTCAAGGTTGTTCGGAGGATTCCGACCCTTAATCTTGAGTATCCGAAAATCTCAAATTGATTTATGGTACTGACAATTTTTTTTGTATCCTGTCTTGAGTTTGACGTCTATTCGCAGCGCTTAAGTTTTTTTTTTTTTTTTTCTTCTGAAGGAATCTTGGGTCTAAAGGCTTCAGACTTTTTTTATGGGAATATTTCGTTGCAATAATTTAGGTCGCCTAGTTTTTCAAGCCACAGTTGTAACGATTGTAATACGTGCATCTTTCAAAATTCAGAATTTTGCTTTTTGATTTAATGTGCGTGCAGGCCCTGAGGGAACAAGTGCAAGAGGAAGGAAAGGAAAACAAAGGAGTGGAGCTTCAAGCAAGAGAAGAAGTGGCGACGGCTGTGGTGGAATTGCTGAGGGCCTTTCCTCATCCCTCGACGTTTCCGTGGCGGGAAGTTTTTGTGACTGGCAAATCGGAAACAGAAGTTATGAGAGACATGGCTGTTTTATTTGGTGATTCAGCGATAATTCAGGCTCTTGGTGATCCCGGCTCTGTGTTGCAAGTGAGTTGAGTGCGAAAGAGAAAAAAGGGCACACTGTCTTCTAAAATTGTGAACTAAAGCGCATAATATATATGTTTGGGTGTATTTTAAGCGGAATGAATCTGTTTTTCTTTAGTCTGTATAGTCCCACCTGTTGCGCTGTACAGGGTGGGCCAGAAAATAAGAGTACAATTCAAAACTTCAGTACATTTTTTGCATGTGATTCAAATGCAGTTTTTCATCTAAAAAATGAAATTTTTAGAATTCAGCTGAACAGTTTCTCGCTGTGCAGTGTTTGGATTTGTTGTGTGGAGTTGCCAAAATTTGCACGGTCTATTTCAATTTTCAGAACTGCCCATTTGTGCTTTTCAGGGCATTGCATCTGTATAAAATTATAGCAAAAAAGTGAGATTAAATTGCTGTCTAGAGGAGTAGAGGATCACACATTTCCTCTCTTGATCTTTCTCACTCAGATGAATCATGCGTAATCATTTCCCTGAAAAAGCCAAAAAATTTGCCAATTCATGTTTCAGGGGCCTGCAACATTTATGGTTGTCTGAAGGATGGAATTTCTCCTCCTTTGTGTTCATTCCACCACCTACTGTTGACTGAAATTTCATAATTGAACAATGTTCATTACACCTGTTCGCTCGTCTTATAACTTTCTGTTCAGGTGAGAAGTGTTTGAAACGAGTGTGCTACTTTTTTTTCAGTGTGAGTGTTGCCAAAGAACGGCGCATGCTGATGAGCAGGACGAAGGTGCAGTTATTGGCAGCATGCCGGACATTTGCATCGCGTACCAGCTGTTGTGCGAGTACCAGGTGCATCGGATTTCCTTGCGGGACTGGCTGTACCAGTTTGATGAAGCATTGCGCTCTTCGGGTTCCACTAAAGCAGCGTCGAAATCCGAAGCTTTGGAAGAACCGTCAGCGACTGTGCAGTACGTGTCTTTTTATTTATATATTTTTTATTTATTTGGGGATTTTTTCTGTGATTGATGATACGTTGGGAATATTTAAAAAAAATTTAGAGCACGATTTTCGCAAGCTGTGGCGGAGTTGGAGCTCTTGGGGATCATTGTACCTGCTGCCAGACCTCCGGATCATATGGAGAGGATATATTGAAGGTTTCTACAGTTTTTTTTTCCAGCGATTTTATCGTGCATGTCTTGGGTATTCATTTTGTTTTCAAGTTACGTGTTTTGTAATTTTCATCATGAGAATAAAAGAATCTTTCACACCTTTTGATACTTGAGTGATGCTGTATTTTGGAACATGGTAGAACTCCATCGATCAAGGCTCGTATCATGATGTCCTAATTTTGATCTATATGAGCGACGCTTTCATCGGGTGGTATGCAAAATTGTGCGAGCATTGCTATTTATCCTAGAAAAGGACGAAAGATTATTTGAATTGTTGCTTTAAAAAAAATTGGTTGAAGACGTACTAAATAATTTCGAAAAAAATGCGTCGGGGCAAAATTGTCGTTGAAACCCTGAATGTGGATTTTAAGACAGTAGGCGCGGATTTCAAATAAATTCCAATTTGTCTTTTTACGGGTTAATCAATGCACTCAGGAAATGGTGCAAATGCCAAAACCATACATTTTGAAACTGGCATAGTACTGTTGAAGATGAGAAAAATGAAGAAGCCCAGCTGATGATGAATAGGAAGCAGAAATGCTCGCTCACCACTTCAATACCAAAGCTTATATATGTCAGCACATTGTGGTTCTCCAGGCTACTCCCCTGGAGTGGAATTTGCTTTCTCTCCATCAATGAGTGACTTCATGGTTAGCGCATGTTTTTGATGAGGAATTTCATGCTGGAATTGGTTTAGGAAAACAATATTCTATTCATTTTATACAAAACCTGACTAACCTAAAATGCAGTTTTTATTTTTAAAAAATCACAATTAATCAAACGTGTTACAATAAAAAGGAACCTTCAGTAGGGTCTTAAATGTGAAGATACGACTTAATAACGTCGACTTTAGTGAGTGGTTTTAGGTGACCACCGAGAACCTCTCTGACCGAGTACTAGGGGTGGCATGGAAGCGGTAGCCCTGAGTAGTAAGGGTTCCATAATAGCGACACCTATCCCATAGCTCTTCTATAACCAGCGACCGACCGCATCACCCACCCCGGCGTTGCCAGCATGCAGATGGTTATCACGATCGGCGGAGACGCGCAGGAGATTGTGTTGGAGCGTCATTCCGTTCTTGACTTTTGATGAAGGAGGTTGTGTTAACCTCGAGAGCCTGTCCTGGTGATCTGTGATATGTTTTGCGACGAGTGTTCACGAACTGGAGTCTGGACTGTTATTGAGTACTCCTGCGTCATTCCGTTCTTGACTTTTGATGAAGGAGGTTGTGTTAACCTCGAGAGCCTGTCCTGGTGATCTGTGATATGTTTTGCGACGAGTGTTCACGAACTGGAGTCTGGACTGTTATTGAGTACTCCTGTTCGAGTGACATTGGGCGAGGACTTATTTACTAAACCTTATTGAGTGAAGCGGCTTTGAGTAGAAGTTGTAAATTAACGTCGCGTCAGGGTTTAGGGTGGAACTCGGTGGTTTCAGACGTTTCTATTAACGGGAGCTGTTGATCTATTGACTTGTGCGAGTGCTTAATCTCACATCTTCGATTTGGTTGCGTGTGAAGTCGTCATGGCATATCGATGCGAAGTACTGTGCAATGAAAGTGAACCGCGGGCAAGGTGTTTCTAAGGAATCCCATTTTGCAGTTAAAATAAAGAAAAGATCACTGCTTGAGGCCCGGTGGTTTACTGGTCTCGCATTACAGCACTGATCATCAGTGTCGGTATTAATCTCTTAAGTTAAACTTAATAACAAGTAAAGCCATTTGAAAGTTTTTGCATAGCGATGGGACCCATTGATTCCGCCACTCTCGAAGCTCTCAGGAAACAGTTTGAAGGAACTCCGAAATATCAGTTGGCTCAGAATGTGTGCGCCCAGTACGATCCAGGACTTGCAACGGTCAGAAGAACTGAGGTTGAAACAGTGCATGCAGTGTTCTCCCATAAAGTTGATCCCGAAGGGAAGCCGGTCACTAATCAACGTCGATCTGGTCGTTGCTGGATTTTTGCGCTACTGAATGTTGTTCGCATCCCAATGATGAAGCACTTTGATCTAGACGAACTTGAATTGTCCCAGTCCCATATTTTCTTTTATCATAAACTAGAACGATCAAATTACGTTCTTCACAAAGTAGTTGAAGCTTATAAAAAGGGAGAAAAGGCAGACGGTCGCCTCCTGTCTTTCTTGCACGCTGATCCTGTCTCAGACGGCGGGCAATGGGACATGTTGGCGGATATAGTTCAGAAGTATGGCATGATGCCGAAGTCAGCGTATTGTGAAACGTTCTGTGGAGAAGCGTCCGCGCCTGTGAACTGGTTAATAGAAACGAAGCTGCGGCAATTTTCGAAGGACCTAAAAGTGATTCTTGATAAAGGTCCGTCTATTCTTACTGTTTCGTGCGTCGTACGTGATAGAGTAAAAGTAACAATGTTGTATTTGTTACATTAAAATTAAAATCTGAAGGTGGAAGTGATGCTGAAGCCCATGCCAAGATACGAGAACAAATGAAAATTATCTACCGGATTCTTGCCATTTGTCTCGCGGTTCCTCCGGCGCGTTTTGATTGGGAGTACGTCGACAAAAAGAAGCAATACGTAAAGATCTCAAATGTTACACCTTTGGAATTTTATGAGAAATACGTGAAACCAGTATTCAATATGGAAGACAAAATGTGTATCGTTAATGATCCAAGACCCACCAGTGGTTTTGGTCGCCCACTGTTCGTGGAGAACCTTGGAAATGTCATCGGCGGACGAGATACAGTGTACAACAATCAAGGTATTGAAGTTCTCATGCGTGCAGTGCGCGATTCAATCAAAGCAAATGAGCCAGTGTGGTTTGGTTGTGATGTCGGCGTTGCACGTACGCGTAAAGGGCTGATGTCAACTGCAGTGTAAGCTAATATGTTAGATTCTCAGAACTTTTCGATGTGGAAGTGTTCTATAATTGCAGTCGGGATTATCGGCTGATGTTTGACGAGGACTTCATTTTGAATCTGTCGAAGGCGGACAAGTTAACTTTCGGGCAATCGTTGATGACCCACGCGATGGTGTTCACTGGGGTAACTTGTCCTACGGAGGACTCACTTCCCATCAGGTTTCGCGTCGAAAATTCTTGGGGTGAGGACGATGGTGAGAAAGGCTATCTCGTAATGACTGACGCCTGGTTCAAGGAATTCGTCTACGAAGTAGTAGTGGACAAGAAGTTCTTGTCTCCAGAAGTTATATCCGCCCTTCAGAAACAAAGAGTTGTTCTTCCCCCGTGGGATCCAATGGGAGCTCTCGCGTTTTGAAATATGGGTTCCCTGTCTGAAATGCATGGCTTTTGTGGCAAACAGTTCACATTTTGCGTATTCCTTCTTTAGTGTACGTGTGTTGATTCGAATTGTGATCCTAGATCACTGGATCATAGTCGCGAGATGAATTCGGGGCAACAACTGGTTGCCAATGGCACGAGGGTGAGTAATATAATTTTGCTCATTTCAAAAGTCCAAACCGTTCGAGTACAAATTTACTGTATGTTTTCCCAGGTTGGCGAAATTTTCGTCGCAGCTGGAGCTGCGTTCCAGAAAATTGGAGAGCTTGCGGTTCTTCTTCACAACAGCACGAAAGCCTCGAAATCGATGATGTGAGTGTTGCAAGTTATTTTCGTGATTTCATTTTAATCTAAGTTTCGTTTTCTTTCAGCTCTGCAAGAACTCAAGAGAAGATTCACCAGTCAGTGAAGAGGATGGCCCTCGACCTGGAAGGTGTAACGAGCGAAATAAAGCGGAAAACATTGTATGTTTTACCATCGATCTTTTTTACTCAAATATCTTTTTTTTTACTCATGGTCTCTGAGACGCAATTACTTGGCTCACAGTATGCCAGAAATTCTGTGGTACTACTCGACCTGAAAGTGTACCAATTTTCGAATGGAAGTACTGTATCTTCAAAAAAATTACGAAGCCTTGTTAGATAGTTAAAAATGAAAAATTTTATAAAATGTCTGGGCTTTCTTCAATTTTGATTTACATGTTGCATCATTATTTTCACGAAGGGATTTATAATGAACAACTGGGGTGGAATAGTTCAGGTACTTTTTCGGACTCTCACTTCGAATTATAGACTTCCTGTATTTAGTTCAGATATGGTTCAGTGGGGTGATCTAACTTTAATTTAAAATTAGCATTATAATTTAGGAAGCAAGCCGATTTTCTTCATTCGTTGAAATCTGGCAGAAATGGTCCTTATACAGTATTTAAGCTTACTGTGCTGTATTTCTGAGTGACTCGTCGTCTTGATGTTTATATTTCATTTAGAGAGCGAGTGAAGACCGATTTGAAAACACAAATGATGGAAGAACGAGGGATAGTACCATCCAGAGACCGACCAACACCTGCCAAGCAGCGAAAATTGCAGAAGCCGATTGTTCCTGTGGCCTCTGTTTCATCTCCGTCCGTACGACCGATTTACCAGCAAACCTCTGATCCCCGCTACGCCAATGGACCGAACCTCTCGCAGTTGACGGAGGCTGATAAAATCCTGGCCCAGGCCAATGCTGAAAGAAATGCCTTGGCTACTGGCCTTCCTCTGCCAGACGAAACTTTGGTAATGTAAATTGTGCGACATGTGGTCGAATGAATTGACAATTCGTGTTTTTCTCGGGCTTAGATGGATGACGGGACTATGGTTGAAGAAGAAATCATCACTACGGAAACGGAAGATAGCATTGGCAGCGATGGCCCCGTCAGAGGAATCGGAGTGGCAGGAAGTGGAGAGTCTTCCTCAGGGGAAGACGATCACGTGGATCCAATGAAAATGCAGAGAAGGACGAAAAAACGTCAAATGGAGCGAAGTAATCCTTTTTTATTTCCTCTGACAACTTCTCTTTTTTCGAATTTGTCGAAGGCTTACGAAAGTAGATTTTTTTCAGTAAAATATATATTTTACATAGTGGAAATCTTCAGTTTTTTTTCGAATATTGTTTAACTTTTTGTCAATTCAAGAGTTACAAAATTTCAAATGCCGACCTAATTAATTTTGTGTTCAAAAGCCCGTAAGGTCTATTTCTTAGCAAAATTCAGCTTCAGCTAATTTTTTTAAATTGGTGAGTTACTGAATTTGATTCTCTGTCTACATGTGCAACTTCAAGAAATGTGGGTTTTCATGAATAAAATTCATTTTCTGGAAGTTGGAGATACTGTTGAACACAAAAAGGCTTTCAAGAGAATTAAATTAAAAAAAAATTTGTTGACGACGTGGAATCATGTTTGAAAAATGATTTAGGTTCTGCTAGGCCACCCTATAGAAATTATGTTTTGTTTTGCCTACAATAGAGAGTTTCTTTTTTTAATATTCATTTTTGTTGTTGCAGGCGATGCGTTCATGGCTGCTGGCTTGGAAGACGACGTTGGGTTGGTGGACGAGCAGCACCTGGACATTGGTCTTGAAGAATCAATTGAAGAAGCTCAAACTGAAGAAGAAGTTGTTCACGACGGTTTCGAGTTACAGTTTGCTGTTGCGGAAGAGGAAGTCGTTACAACTTGATCCGCTTACTCCTTTTTACTGTTTTTTATGCACTTTTTCATGGTACAACCTTAAAAGAGATTTTTTTGATACGATTTGTTCAGCTTCTGCATATTGTATCAATATTCAAATCGGATTTTTCAGTTTGTTAGTTATCGTCGAGTTCGTTCGTTTTCTGTTCTTTTTTTTCGTTGTTTCATTTTTGTTCACGTTTTTATTATGATCAGCCGTGTAGAAAATTTGATGCATTTCTGCCAAAAAATATCTTTACGTAGGATCCCATTGACTCCTGGGTGCGTCCTTGTGAACTGCCCCCATAGANAAATTTACTGTATGTTTTCCCAGGTTGGCGAAATTTTCGTCGCAGCTGGAGCTGCGTTCCAGAAAATTGGAGAGCTTGCGGTTCTTCTTCACAACAGCACGAAAGCCTCGAAATCGATGATGTGAGTGTTGCAAGTTATTTTCGTGATTTCATTTTAATCTAAGTTTCGTTTTCTTTCAGCTCTGCAAGAACTCAAGAGAAGATTCACCAGTCAGTGAAGAGGATGGCCCTCGACCTGGAAGGTGTAACGAGCGAAATAAAGCGGAAAACATTGTATGTTTTACCATCGATCATTTTTACTCGAATATCTTTTTTTTGCTCATGGTCTCTGAGACGCTATTACTTGTCTCACAGTATGCCAGAAATTCTGTGGTACTACTCGACCTGAAAGTGTACCAATTTTCGAATGGAAGTACTCTTATCTTCAAGAAAATTACGAAGCCTTGCTAGATAGTTTAAAATGAAAAATTTTCTAAAATTTCTAGGCTTACTTCAATTTTCTTCAACTTTGATTTACATGTTGCATCATATTTTTCATGAAGGGATTTGTAATGAACAACTGGGGTGGAAAAGTTCAGGTACTTTTTCGGACTCTCACTTCGAATTATAGAATTCCTGTTTTTAGTTCAGATATGGTTCAGTGGGGTGATTTAACTTCAATTTAAAATTAGCCTCTAAAAATTGGACTTAGCATTATAATTTAGGAAGCCTGCCGATTTTCTTCATGCGATGAAATCTGGCAGAAATGGTCCTTGTACAGTATTTAAGCTTACTGTGCTGTTTTTCTGAGTGACTCGTCTTGTTGTTTGTATTCCGTTTAGAGAGCGAGTGAAGACCGATTTGAAAACACAAATGATGGAAGAACGAGGGATAGTACCATCCAGAGACCGACCAACACCTGCCAAGCAGCGAAAATTGCAGAAGCCGATTGTTCCTGTGGCCTCTGTTTCATCTCCGTCCGTACGACCAATTTACCAGCAAACCTCTGATCCTCGCTACGCCAATGGACCGAACCTCTCGCAGTTGACGGAGGCTGATAAAATCCTGGCCCAGGCCAATGCTGAAAGAAATGCATTGGCTACTGGCCTTCCTCTGCCAGACGAAACTTTGGTAATGTAAATTGTGCGACATGTGGTCGAATGAATTGACAATTCGTGTTTTTCTCTGGCTTAGATGGATGACGGGACTATGGTTGAAGAAGAAATCATCACTACGGAAACGGAAGACAGCATTGGCAGCGATGGCCCCGTCAGAGGAATCGGAGTGGCAGGAAGTGGAGAGTCATCTTCAGGGGAAGACGATCACGTGGATCCAATGAAAATGCAGAGAAGGACGAAAAAACGTCAAATGGAGCGAAGTAATCCTTTTTTATTTCCCCTGACAACTTTTTTTTTTTCAAATTTTTCGAAGGCTTACGAAAGTAGATTTTTTTTTCAGTAGAAAATATATTTTAGATAGTGGAAATCTTCAGTTTTTTTTATCGAATAACGTTTCACTTTTTGTCAATTCAAGAGTTACAAAATTTCAGTTTTTAAAAATGTCGACCTAATTAATTTTGTGTTCGAAAGTCCGTGAAGTCTATTTCTTAGCGAAATTCAGCTTCAGCTACTTTTTTAGAATGTTTGAGTTACTGAATTTGATTCTCTGTCTACATGTGCAACTTCAAGAAATGTGGGTTTTCATGAATTGAATTCATTTTATGGAAGTTGGAGATACTGTTGAACACGAAAAGGTTTTCAAGAGATTTAAATTGAAAAAAAATGTATTGACGACGTGGAAAAGATGAATCATGTTTGAAAATCGATTTAGGTTTTGCTCGGCCACCCTATAGAAATTATGTTTTGTTTTGCCTACGATAGAGATTGTTTATTTTTTTAATATTAATTTTTGTTGTTGCAGGCGATGCTAAGTACCGACGACCGAACCTTCTGCTGCAACCCAACCACCTGCTCGTCGTGGACCTGTAACCAGAACTTCTTAGTTAACTTCTTCGAGTTTGACTTCTTCTTCAACAAGTGCTGCCAAAGCTCAATGAGTTTGCTGTTGCGGAAGAGGAAGTCGTTACAACTTGATCCGCTTACTCCTTTTTACTGTTTTTTATGCACTTTTTCATGGTACAACCTTAAAAGAGATTTTTTTGATACGATTTGTTCAGCTTCTGCATATTGTATCAATATTCAAATCGGATTTTTCAGTTTGTTAGTTATCGTCGAGTTCGTTCGTTTTCTGTTCTTTTTTTTCGTTGTTTCATTTTTGTTCACGTTTTTATTATGATCAGCCGTGTAGAAAATTTGATGCATTTCTGCCAAAAAATATCTTTACGTAGGATCCCATTGACTCCTGGGTGCGTCCTTGTGAACTGCCCCCATAGATTTTTTTCGACATTTTTCATTGTCAGCAGCATTATAAATTTCAGCCACGACACTAATAGGATCCACCGCGTGACTGATTTAATCTCACGCCTAGCTAAGATAATCTGACCAATTAAGCTACTCGAATAGCACTTTATTAACGAACCCCAGCGTCTATCTTGAAGTCTTAATCCGAAAAGCGACGTAGGATATTCTTGCATGAACTTGAAAAGATACATACAAATTGGGAAACGTTTAGTTAACTGTCCAAGAAATCGAGGATTATTTAAGATATGTTCTGAAAGATTTTCAGGGAATTCTTCGTCCGGAATCACAGATATTTTTGTCGTTTGTATATCTATTTTGAGTGAAAAAAAGACGTTCAAGGAGTACGAAGACAGTCATTGTGCAGTATATATTTTTTCTCATTTTCATTTCGAAAGGCAACGATTTTCTGTATTAAGTCAACCAATACCCAGCAAACATAAGCTAGCATGAAAGAACCTTGTTGGTTTATGTTTGCTGCGATTTACTTCAATTTTTCAATGCAAGAATGGTGATCGATCCGTTAAGAAGGAAGGGGGCAGCTTCAACAAGGAAGAGCCGACGCGTGAATTCATTCCCGAGATGGAATTCTGTTTATTCATCCAATGTCGCATGATAGTTTTTCAGAGTGTGCTTGAAATCTAGAGTTGAATCATGGCTGGGAAAGTGCACGGTGGCAAAAGATCGCGGTGGGCCATTGACTTCGTCACTCATCGCGAATCGGTCTATAGTAACATTTCCTCGCCTCCGGGCTTCTCGACGTCGACGGTGATTGCAGAGGGCCACTCTGCAAGCGGCTCGGAGCGAGTGGACCAGAACCTAGTCATTAAACGGTCCTGGGACCTGGCCCTCGGGCCCCTGAAGCAACTCCCCATGAACATGTTCATCATGTACATGGCCGGCAACTCCATCTCCATCTTCCCCATCATGATGGTCGGCATGTTGTTTCTGCGGCCTGTGAAAGCTATTCTAGGTATACAAAGCACGTTTTCAGTCATTGAAGGCTCGCACGCCGTGTGGCAAAAAATTGTGTTCTTTATCGGCAACGTGGCGTGCATTCTGATGGCGTTGTGGAAGTGCCAGAGTATGGGGCTGTTGCCAACGCATGCGTCGGATTGGCTGGCGTTCATAGAGCCGAAGGAAAGGGCGGAGTTCGCCTTTGGGGGCATTGCTTTGTGATGAAGGCGGTTTACGGTTCAATGGACCATTTTTGTTTTTCTTATCTATGGTGCGTGAGGAATATATCAAATCATTTGTCTTGTCACTGCGATGTGATGTTCTTTCGTTGTGTGTGTGTTTTTTTCTGTTGATGGATAATTCCTTGTCCCATTCTTATTTTTTTTCCTGCAGGTTTGTGGGGGAGAGGAAATTTTGTGTTTTTTTTTCGCCACGTTTCGAATTGCGTGAGGGGATCGAATTCTTGGAGAAATAAATCGAAAATGCGGTACCCTCGAAATCGTGAATATTTCAACGCGCTAAGGATGCTTGAATCCAGAATACTGTGCATATGTGTCAGTGGAAAGCGAGGGAAAATGTGGAGTACATTACTGAAGAATTTTCAACGATTGAAAATTAATGGCCAACTGTGATCTTCTTGCGAATTCTGAGGTCATTCATTTATTTCTGGTGGACTCTCCACTGCGATTTTCTCTGTAAAATGATTTTTTCTGGTCCCGTAAGGTTCTCTATCCATGTTACGTGGGTTTTCAAGTTTCAACAAATAATTTTTTTTGCACCTCGAATTCCATTGTAGAGAGAGAGTCCACCATCAGTATATTAATCTGAAGTACTGTTCCCCAACCTGTGCCACAGAGTGGAAATTTTCCAGTCTGTGGGCCCAAAAAGGTTGGGGAACGCTGATGTGAAAGATGTTTTTTTGTTGACGGACTGTATTCCCTGAATCTCCGGTTTCAGGAGGCAATGATCCTTTTAGTGAAGATTTTGCCAATTTACTCCCATTTTCGAGGTTGTTGCCGAGGATACAAGTCTCAACAATACCGAAATCTTTTGCATTTCTCTTCCAGGTGCTTTCTTCTGTCCTCTTAACAGCATTTTTTATGAAATTTAATTATCTTGAGCTCATCACACCCTGAAAGATTGATGTTCTTGCGGCTTAGTGAAAAGTGAAATGCCCGGTGTATTGAGTACAAAAGAAATTCCATGTGCGTTGGAAAAATCGGATTTTCATTGATTTTCATCTTGCGCCGATACGCGTGCGGAATCGTGTCAAAATCGGGTTTGATAAGTTTTGAAAGAATTTATCAGAAGCATTAATTCGTGCTGCGCAAAAATCACTCATCATTCCAAAATACTTTCTTGAATTTCGCCATGAGTTGTGTAGCTTATATTGTTGAACAAGACGCAAATAAATTCATGAAGCTGATGCAAAATTCTTACTTTTCAGAGCTTTGCCGAAAGATAGCGTGTGTGTTCAGAAGTTGCTGTCTTCGTGTAAGAAAATGAGTGAGTTGAACTACCGTATTTTTTTTTAAATAAAAAACTCAATCACTCTTGAATGTGTCTGTCTGGTTCGTATCTAGATTTTTTCCGATGCTTTGAGCTTCGAGGAATATTCAAATGGAAGAAATTTTATAAATTGTTATAATCGTCTTGGGCTAAAATATAATTTTTACGGAGGGAATTCGCAACTATTTTCTTGACAGTGAACTTCTCAAAAAAGACGAACATTTATTTTCTTGTGCAGATTCATAATTTTCGTGAGCCCGCCTGTATAGAGAGAATTTTTTCAAGCTTCCTTAGAAGAATATTGAACTGAGCGCTATGTGTTCCATAAATTTTCGTACAAATTTTCATTTTAGGTGTGGATTCGGGTATAGTTTTGGTGACGGGAGCGACAGGATTTTTGGCGACGCACTGCATCAAGTTATTGCAAGAAAGGGGCTGGCAAGTCAGAGGTACTGTGAGGAACAAAAACGACGAGAAGAAAAACAGTGCGTTGTACGGTTTAGTGCCTGATGCGAAACACAAGCTCGAGCTCGTCGAGGCCGACTTGACTAAACCAGCCACTTGGCCTGAGTGAGTACATAAAAATTTCAGAAATTTTCAGACCAGCTGTTGGAAGGTTTTTTTTTTTTAAACTCGTGGGTCGCGAATAAACTTTCAAGGCCTTGTCGCCGATTTGGAGTTTTCTTTTGTTGTTCTCATCCCGTGAGAAGCTGACGTTTTTAAACCGGAAATTCCAGTCAAGCCTTCTACATACGAGGGTTCTAACAAAAGTTCTCGGAGTAGCAATGAAAATGGCATACAATTGAGCTGAAAAAAATTTATTCTCTAGCGAAAACATATTCTATGGCACTCAAAAAGAATCAGCCCAGTTTGACAAATTTTTTAAATTTTTTGCAAAATTCATCCATACTGTATATAGAGTTTTGCTCTCCACTCAAAAAATGAGGCGCCCTTTTTTGTTGCAGCCCAGCTTTCCCCTCCAGGTCATTCAAGGCAATTCCGCCATTTTCATCAACAGCCGCCTTCACAGCCGCCACATTGGCCCCCATTTTGGCGGCTGTGAAGGCGGCTGTTGATGAAAATGGCGGAATTGCCTTGAATGACCTGGAGGCAACCCTTAGAAAGAATGCCAAGTTAATTTCAAAAATTCTGAGGGGAAAGCTGGGCTGCAACAAAAAAGGGCGCCTCATTTTTTGAGTGGAGAGCAAAACTCTATACAGTATATGGATGAATTTTGCAAAAAATTAAAAAAATTTGTCAAACCGGGCTGATTTTTTTTGTGTGCCAAAGAATATGTTTTCGATAGAGAATAAATTTTTTTCAGCTCAATTGTATGCCATTTTCATTGCTACTCCGAGAACTTTTGTTAGAGCCCTCGTATCTTCCCCAAGTCCTGTGAGTCACGAAGAAAATTTGTATAAAGGGCAGATGAAACCTTTCGGTTCAATTTTTCAAGATTTTTGGCTGATTGAATCGCTGTACATTTGATTTCGGGACAGGCATTGAATAACTTCGGCTGAATATTCTCGAGTTATCAAGTTCTTAATTCTAAGTGACGGACGGTGAACTGGTTTCGCCCTCTACGTGCCAATTCAACTTGAACTTTCTGTTGAACCTCGATTTAGTGCCATCATTTGTCCAGGCATATTTTGTTGCCTTGAGCAAGGGTGGTATTAAATCAGAAGGCTTCATTGAGGGCTTCTACCATTTACAAAATAAACTTCCTTGCAGAATTGTGAGGCTATTGAGTCTGATTTCTGAAAGAGAAAAAAATGGTTCCGAAGAAAGAAATTTGAAACTATGAACAAAAAATATTTTCAAGTCAAGTAAAAGAGCGGAACTTCTTCTAAAAGGTTTGTATCAATTGTTTAATGAAAGCACGCACTTTCAAGATCACGCAAAAGGATTTTATTTTTTTGAAGAGAGTACAGTATCATAATTACGGATGTTCTCTGCAGAGGACTTCCAAATAACGACATTTTAATTCAGAAAAAGACTTCTCAAAATTACCCTGAACACTCAGTAATGACTGAATGATACACCTAAAAAATACCTTAATTTCTATGATTTGTGCCAATTTTTATTTTTCACTCCATTAGCTGGCAATTGTTACTGGGGTTCCCTTGAGAGCACAATTGGGATAAGATTTTTTCCATGGGAATTTCTAGCATTATGCAAGGGTGGCACTAAATTGAGGGTTGACTGTACTGCACCGACAAACTTTACTCATGCTTGCATTTTTATCTTGTCTTCAGTGCTGTGAAAGGATGCACCTACGTTTTGCACGTGGCGAGTCCATTTCCCGGATCCGGGGGTAAAGTCCGCGATGTCGAAAACCAACTTATGCGTCCAGCTGTCGAAGGTACTCTCAACGTGTTGCGGGCTTGTGCCAAAGCTGGGACTGTCAAGCGTGTCGTTGTCACCAGTTCCGTCGCCTCTATTTTCAGTGACACGAAGCACAAAGACGGCGAAAGGAAGTATAAGTGAGTGTATTTCGAGGCAAGAGAATTCATCTTTCGGGCTTATTTGTGAGGGTGTGATTTAAAATGTTCTTCGTGCCAAAGGTAATATTTGTAGAATTCCATGGAAAAATCGTTTCACTCCCACCCGCTCTATCCTCTCCCGGACAACTTTCATGTTATGCTTTTTGGGGGCTAATGTCCTCTGGTTCAAGTACCTATCTTAAAATAGAAAAAAAACTAAGGTTACTGCTTTGTTTAACGATAGCATTGCTCCAAGTGGGTCGCTTTATTTTATGTTAGGTTAATTAGTTTTGTTTTGGTTAGTTTAGGTTAGGTTACAGTATTTCAATTATTGTTATTTTCGGTTAGACCATTTTAGTTTTGGTTCGATTAGGTTAGGTTATTTTATTTCTGATTAGTTTAAGTTCGGTTTTAATTAATCTTCGGTTTGTTTAGTTTCTTCTTTGTTTTGCTAATTTTTTTTCAGTGGAATTTTGTCCCAAAAATCACTTGGATATTAATTTTACATGTCCCTGAAAAACAAAGGACGAAAGACCAAAATATCGAAGGTCGAGGGGGTCGATTTTTTTTACCCTCATTTGCGACCTCCAAATGCTTGGTTTAAAGGAAATTTGGTCAATTGTTGTGCATTTCTTTTGTATCCAGTTTTTCTTCTCAAGTCCCGAGCTTCATGTGTCAAACGCGAAATGAAACTTTTCGAAGGCTTTTAATTTTGAAGATCTTTTCGATTCTCTGTGAACGGTTTTATTTCATAGTTCAAGAAATTCTTGGAGTCTATTCCTTCGGTCTTTTGAAACTTGGATGGAAATATATTTTCATATACTGAAATTATTTTAATGGAACGCAGTTGAGTCAAGTGTGGAGTCCTGAGTACAGCACTTCGCGTATGTGCGTGATTTTGGAAATGCTTCATTTCCTCGTATACCCAATGAACTTCACGAACTGTCGACATGGAGAAAAATCAGTTCTGCATCATCATCGTGTTGAAATTTATATGGAATCTCAGAGTAATTTCTCTGAATCGTTACATCATATCTTTGACATTTGAATTAATGTCGTAATTGTGTCTTATGGTGTGTGTGCGGGAAAACTGAAATATTAGATCTTGGATTGATTTTCGCATTTTTATGTGTATGTAATTTATCTGAATCGTTACATCATATCTTTGACATTTGAATTAATGTCGTAATTGTGTCTTATGGTGTGTGTGCGGGAAAACTGAAATATTAGATCTTGGATTGATTTTCGCATTTTTATGTGTACAACTTCTGACGAGGGGTGAATCCGCACAATTGAAAAGAAGAAAAAAAAGTGAACAGAAGAAAGTTCGATGTTTTAGTCCTGATGAAATATTTTCTCGTTTTTTCTTGCCAAGTGAGGAAGATTGGACGGATATGGATGATCCGCATTGCGACAAATACTGTGTATCGAAGACCAAGGCCGAGAAGGCAGCTTGGGATTACGTGAAAGGATTATCCGATTCCGAGAAGTTCGAGTTGGTGACTATTTGCCCGAGTTTCATCAACGGACCACTTCTGACTAGCATTCACAATGATGCTACTTCGCTCGAGGTAAATTTCTCGCGACCATTTTCAAGAAAATTACTTGAAGAAATTATGTACAACTTGAAAAATTTTCAATTATTTATATAGCCCGTTGTCCTTCTCATGAACCGAGATTTGAGATTGATCGGAGGAGTTCCCCATTACATGTTTCCGATTTGCGACGCGAGGGATGTTGGCCTTCGAGTACACTTTAGGTACTGGCGGGGGCTCCGCCGCCCTGTTGCAAAGTAACAGGTGTCGCTCAGTGAAACCAAATAGCTGGAGACGCCGCACTCAGAAGACAGACAGGCATATTTGAAAACTCAATTGTTTGCCCAACTTGTTTATTTTGCGAAAGTTAATTAGTTATTTTATTTTTTACGAATATTCGGAGGCTTTCTCTACCTTTTGAAACCACGGGTTTCTTCATTGCGGCGAACATGCTGATGCAATTGATTGAAGCGACACCTACCTGTTTAAAAAGTGGATCGTGGACTCAAAGGGCGGAGTAGCAAATCGGATCAATTTTGGAATGGAACATTAATTTTGATAATAGCTCATTTAATTGGTAAAAATGTGCAAGATTGTGCCTGCTCATTTTTCTACTTTCTGTGCATACGAAGCTGGATTCTCAAGAGTTGTTAGTTGGTTGCGTAGCTTGTTTATTTTGCGAAATTTAATTAGTTATCTTATTTTTTAAGAATATTCCGAGAATTTTTCTTCCTTTTTAAGAGATGGATTTGTAAATTACGGTGGAAATGCTAATGCTGTTGATTGAAGCGACACCTATCTGCATGAAAATGAATCGCTGACTAAAAGGACGGAGTAAACAAATCTTCTCATAGGCAAACTATAGTTTGATCTTAGATCGTTGTGTTGATGGAAACATGCATGATTGTGCCTGCATGTTTCCTCTTTTTTGCAGTGTAATGTGCTTACTAACATAACATGGTTTACTTTTATTTATCAATTCAGCTGTTGGCCAAGAATTTCGGAAAGTACGGTTACAAATTTCCCTGGCTGGAAATTCCGACCATCGCGTCTTGGTTTGCCCGCTTTCTGGACTCAAATGTAATCGGATCAATTTTGGAATGGAACATTAATTTTGATAATAGCTCATTTAATTGGTAAAAATGTGCAAGATTGTGCCTGCTCATTTTTCTACTTTCTGTGCATACGAAGCTGGATTCTCAAGAGTTGGTAGTTGGTTGCGTAGCTTGTTAATTTTGCGAAATTTAATTAGTTATCTTATTTTTTAAGAATATTCCGAGAATTTTTCTTCCTTTTCAAGAGATGGATTTGTAAATTACGGTGGAAATGCTAATGCTGTTGATTGAAGCGACACCTATCTGCATGAAAATGAATCGCCGACTAAAAGGACGGAGTAAACAAATTTTCATGGGCAAACTATAGTTTGATCTTAGATCGTTGTGTTGATGGAAACATGCATGATTGTGCCTGCATGTTTCCTCTTTTTTGCAGTATAATGTGCTTCAACATGGTTTACTTTTATTTATCAATTCAGCTGTTGGCCAAGAATTTCGGAAAGTACGGTTACAAATTTCCCTGGCTGGAAATTCCGACCATCGCGTCTTGGTTTGCCCGCTTTCTGGACTCAAATGTGAAGCATTACGTGTATCCGCGTTTGGGACTCCGCACGGACTATGACAACACGAAACTGCAGACGTTGCTGAAGATTAAACCCCGGCCTGTGGAAGAAACTTTGGTGGACATGGGTCGTTCGATGGTGGCCCTAGGATATGCCCGCAAGCTTCGTCCCTTCGACGAGTGAAATGCTCTCATTTAGTGGGAGGTGAAAGAAATATTTCCCCACTCTTCCAACGACGAACAAAGCCGGTTTTTTTGTTGGGGCTTGTGTTGATATGCTCGAATTACTGTAATTCTTTTTTGTGTACTGTATATTTCCTGTGATTTTAATTATTTTCTTCGAAAATTTTGTTGTCTTTCCTATTGAATGCCTTCAAACTACCGTACTTCGATAAAACTTGCAGAATATCATTCCGTATTAACGCGCATTTTGCGGAAATTTTCGGGTGCGGCCTAATTTTAATGCGATATATTTGAAGAAAGAGTCAAAATAATGCGCTAATTTAGCTCATTTTATGCCCAGAAATTTTAAAACAGCATTACTCTGTGCCTTGGTGCCTCAGATTTCAACTTTTTCTTCTCATTTTTTTTGGAAAATTCTTCAGCTTCGTCTGTGCAAAGGCCGTATTTTCATCGAAATTTCTCGGAGTTCTTAGCAAACTGTAATCCTTGCACAAAATCTGGGCGCGACTTAGACGAGACTAAATGCGGTATTTCTTCAAGAATCCTCGTCCGATTTCAATTATATTTTTGCGAGGCGCCGAAAGATCAAAGTTTGTTGATTTTTCGAACGGTATGCGAGTTTTAAAACTTCATTCCATGACAAAAATGAATCTCGCGGAGACACACCAACTTTAGGTCACAGAAGGCTTGCGAGTTTCAACAACTCTCTCAGTAAGGCAGGACGTTTTTTCATTTTGATCTGTTTTTAGTTGTTGCTGGTGCTGAAGCGGGAGAAGTATTTTATTCGCGTTTCAGTTTATTGTGAATTTTGTTGTTGTTGGGGAACAATTTCTAAAACCACTGGTGCGGCCGGATATACTCGACGCGGGAAGTGCCGCGAAAACGTATATTTCAGCCATGGGAAGAGAGAGAGAGAGTTATTTTAAGAGCACACATATATATTCCATAAGTGTTATCGATTTTTCTTGAAAGACGAATTTTCTTAGTGCAACAGGGAAAAGTGAGAATTTGTTTTCGGGCATCTAGAAACCTGAAATCAATCATTAATTTTCCCTTTTGCATGAGGAATATTTTGGACTGTCCTCGAAGAGCTGTTGTATTGAAAAGGCTGTATCACGAACATTTATTGAAAAATTGATACCGAGAAGAGGGAAAAGTTGAACTAAAGTTGTTTTCAGACGGGAATAATTCGGGTTAAACGTGTTCGAATTATTACCGGTGAACTCTCTACAACGAAATTCAAGTGACCAGAGAAAAAAATTTGTTTTGGAGAAACCCTGTAACATGTGAGAAGAACCCGGTGGGACCCGAAAAATTTTCGTTGTACAGAAAAAATTATCTTAGAAAATATCTTTGCAGAGAGAGTCCACCTGTAGAAAGCATGGTTGGGTGTTGAAGTGAAAATTCAAGGAGCAGAAAATAATTCTTGATTTATCGAAAATTAGTTGTACAATTTAAAATGTATCATGATAAATGCAGAATTGCATGTGCAACAAGCTTTGCGAGGATGGACCCAGAATTTTTGGAAGAGCGGCGCCTTTAAATTCAGAAACGTTCGAATTATATATATATTTTTTTCGTTTTTCTGACGAATCTCAAATTTTCCGCGCTTTACAGAAGAATTCGTCACAATATTGTGAAAAGATCGAAGAAAAGTGTGACGATGGAACCCGAAAGCGGGAAGAAATCGCGCGGAATAAAAGTGCAAAGTGACCTCTTTTGCAAAAGCGGATGCGGCTTTTACGGCAATTCCAATTGGCAAGGCTACTGCTCGAAGTGCTGGAAAGACCGTTTGCAACAACCTTCGAAGAGCGAGAATGTGTCGCGAAGTCCGAAATCTTCTCCTTTTGCTCGTGGATCCGATGAACGCAACACCTTCCCTCGAAGGTGCTGAGAATCTCCAGTTTCCTTCTTTCTCCGAGAACATATTTTCAGACTTTTTCCAAAAATTTCAAACAAAACGGATTTAGAGGTATTTTGGTTTCTCGAATTTCCTGTCGTGCAGATTTCACTCAATCGTTTTCAATCTGAGTTCTAGAAGTGGAAGTCGTTAAAATTGCTCGAGAATTTTGGCTAAGATTACCGACTGAAGGAGCAGATTCTTATCTTACATATTAAGAAAATAACGTCGAAGAAGAGAGAACATTGTATTCCAAGCCTCAAACATCCGAAACCCTCGCGGAATGTTTTTCATCATTTTCTAATGCACTACAGTATTCTGTGTTCGCGTGCATGAAATTCCGAAAGTTTTCCACCAAAAAAAACACAGCTTTCTATAAAAATTTATAAACACCTTTACTCTTAAAAAGCTAATAAAAGTCCTACTCCTGCTCTTGACTCCTTCAAGGCCACCGTCAAAGTTCGCCAAGTGGCAGTTTTTGGGCGGTGTTCTCCCGGTTTGAAGAAAAGCGGAGTCAGCAACACGAGAAGAGAACTCGTACTATGAAGTCACTGTTCAAGAAGAGTCATCAGTCTCCATCCCGAGGTTAGTTTTTTTTTTTTTTTCAAGTGTGAAAGATCCTGAAAGAGTTCTGAATATTTTGTATGTCTTCGATTTTTTTTCTCGCACTGAATGGATCACGTGTCGATGAGGAGTTCTTTTATTACAGTATTTTTTTATTTTTAGATTTCTCCTCTGTGCCGTTTCTTGAGGAGATGTTAGATGGCGTAACTGGTTCTTCGGCATCATCTGAAAATACGCCTTCGTCGGACGCGTTCACTGAATACCTCAAGACTTTGAGCAAACCGATTGCGATTGATGTACTCAGACACATAAACTCGGTGACGCAGAAGATGCAAAAAATGTGCGAAGCCGGGGCTTCACCAGAAGAACTCAGTGACACCGCCAAAGAGTTTTACCAGAGTCTCAACGACCGACTTCGCAATCACCCCACTTTTGGAGGTTCATATTATATTTTATTTATTAAATTTTCGCATTTTAATAGTACGGTATTTTTTTTTTTGGAAGAAGGGAGATTTAGAATTTGTTACGAAAGTGCTGTTTTTAGGGTTTAAAAAAATCTAGTTCTTGTTCTTAAGTTCCGTGGTTTAAATACTATACTTGTATGTCGGTTTGAATTTACTTCAAAAAATAATACTGTAATAGAAAGATGAAGAATAGAATCCCAGAAATGTGATTTTTTGTAGTATTTTATTTAGTACATTTTATGTATTGGTGACATGCGTTGATTGATGGAGTTGAAGGTGGCATTTTCAAGAGAGAATGAGATCTCTCAGATAATTTTCTTGTATCCAGCAGTTTTCGAACGACATTGTTGAAGATATTCACCTTAAATGCTGCGTGTGTCTCATACAAAATTGAAAGCTCACAAATAATGAATTTCAAAAATTATTCTTACATTTCGCTGAATTTTGCTTTTACATGACTTGAATTTGAGTGCCGAACTTTGAGTTCGTTAATGTGCGATTCAAATTTACCATTTTTTATTTTCATTTCCCTGTCGATTTTTGTGTTGATGTGATTATGTCTAAACGAAATTTGAAATATGCAGAAGCTACGAGTGAGCAGTTGGAGTCGATGATGGATTTTACCGAGAAAAACGTAATGACGCGGTTGTACAAGTCGGTCTTCTTCGCCCTCAGTGCCCAAAACGAAGACAAGGATTTAGAAATTCAGAAGAGGTAAATTTTTATTTGTGTATTTGTTTTGCTAAGCGTCAGAAAGTGGATGGATTCCTGAAAATGTTCTATATTTTTTTTAGGATTCGAAGCCTGAACTGGATTAGTGCTGCACATTTGGATTGCTTCATTGACGAGCTGCGGCCAGACATCATGGCCTTGATTGACAAAGCCATTTTTTGTGAGAAAACGCTTTTCATTACTGTATTTTCAATTGTCTCTGCCCAATAGACATTTCATGCAAATTACGATGTTACGAATTTTTCATAACTGCTGTATTCTCTCTTCTTTTCTTCTTGGTCCCAATGACATCGATAATCGAGATTCTAATGCTTAAAGTGAGATACACGGACGAATGTGCTTTAAATTCAGGAATCCAAACTTTAATTTCCGGGAGAAAAATTTTTTGAAAATACCGCACATTTGTGGAAGTGTTTATTGAGAAATTCCGTTGCAAATTATCGATTACATATTTCCATCCGTGGAATTCCGAAAAAATCTGTTCACATTACAGTACTTTTTGTCTTCAATGCGTGAATTCGTTCTTGGATTATTATCCGGTATCCTTTGACCATCGTGCGAATGAAACTTAGTTCTTGTTTGGAAACGTTGAGTTTTTTTTTTTAAACTTAATTTTGAATGATTACGTGGAAGAAGACCCCGATGTGATCTATTTTCTTCTATAATAGGTAAATGAAACTTCTGTGTGTTGGTGGTATGAGGAAAAACAGAATTATCCAGCGGTGCTTAAAAATGTACTAATTCCGGAATTCCATTCCTGAATTGTCCAATATTTTCCGATCATTGACCTGGAAAAGCATAACTTGAGCTAACCCCTTACCGAAACGGTGCTGAAAGTTTATCATTCATTGGGAATATTGTGTACTTGAGTGGGGAAAAAATATTCATTTATTTATATCTTCCTGTTACAATCAACCGAAACTTCTTCTTTTGATGTTAGCGTTACGAATTTGCAGCTGCGATTGAAATGGACGCGAGAAGAGCCCCGCAAGACAAGCTGAGCTGCATTGTCAAGTGTTCAAAGAATATCTTCGAGATTTTGCGAGTGTCACGCGAGCGGTTTGGCAACGTGGAGGCTGCTTCTGCCGACGAGTTTCTTCCTGCTCTCATTTTCATCGTTCTCCGCGCCAATCCACCTAGGCTACATTCCAACATTAACTACATTGATAAATTTTGCAATCCGGGTCGTCTTTTGAGCGGGGAAGCCGGATACTATTTCACGAATTTGGTGAGTTTGGAATTATTATTTTTTCCATCTACAGTAGTCGCAGACGACCCTTTCATTCTGATATTTTTACTGTTTTTAAAACTAACCCTTGAAGAAACGAAGGAGAGTCGTTCTGTAGGGTTTAAAATTTTTTTTTGCTCTTCGAAAAATGGAGAAAAATCGGGAATGTTATTTAAAACCGGAAAATTACATAATGGGGTTTAAATCTTCGATGAAACGCATGCTAAAAGGATAGTGTATAGAAATGTTGAATGCAACTTTCGAAAATTTTAGAAAGGTTTCTTGTTTCGGCATCACGAAAAACTGGATTTCGCCGTAAAAATGAAATGGAATTGGTCAACTGTCATCTGCTCACATAATTTTGTAAATAAAAAAGAGAAATGAACAGCAGATTTAAACTTGATAATCGAATGCAATTGTTGCTTGGAGCGACATCTGCCCCCTTTTAAAACCATTCGTCACTGCAATTCTCGACGAAGAACACATTACAATACGAGCTCGTATATTTATTATGAAATATACGTGACTTTTTCACATATGATGAAGTACAGTACTGTACAATACTGTATTTCGAATCTCAATTGGCTAATGTTGAGAATTTTTTCTCCTCAGTATGAACTGTAGTGAAACTTATTGGACCCGCCTTATGTTTAGGATCATCGAGGACTTGTTGATATATTTTGCCTAATTATTCACTTTTCAAATTTTTGTGCTAGTGTTGCGCTGTCGAGTTCATAGAGAAGATGAACCACGAGAGCCTGAACTTGACCAAGGACGAATTTGACAGATTCATGTCGGGAGAAGCTCTTCCGCCAGGTGTCGTTTTCGGAGCGAACCTAGACTCTTTGGAAGCTCCTTGGCTGTGCGAAGGTGTTCGGATCATGCGAGGTAACCTAGTCACGCTCAACGAACTTGCATCCAGAGACACGAAACTGGAGATTGGTTTGGACGACTTGATCACTGACGGTGCGACTTTTGTGGTGAGTCGAGATTCATTGCAATTTTTGTAAAATGAAGGAATCCTAGGAAAGGAAAATTGAAAAAAGAAAGGAGAATTACAGGAAATTGGGATTAGTGATATCCTGGGCCTTTAAATTGATTTTTAAACCAGTTGACAAGATGCTGAACTTTGAGGCAAGGGTTTATTTGCCCAATTGGTCTCTCAATTCCTTTCAAAACGCATCAAGATGAATTTATATTGCTATTTCTTTTTTCTGTCAATACAATATTAGCCAAAAGACCTCTCGAATATTTGAGTGATGGAGGTTTGAGGGGAACGCGTCCGATTTGGGGAGGTTTTTCACGCAATTTTTTCTAGGGGAATTCAAGCAGGGACTCGACAAAAAAAATGTGAATCATGGAGGTTCAACGGTGTTCCTTCTTTCTTTTGTGTAGGATGGTGTTGAGAAGATGGTGGACGATGTCATGGCTGGAACGCCGCTCACGAGTCAGCCGCACAAGCGCCCAATCGCGCTAGATGACGCTGCTGAGGCGACCGAGAACCTTCCGCCGCCTTTAACCCCTCAGGTTGTCCCCAATCCCACGAGCATTTTCCCGGAACCCGCGGCATCCTTGGAAGCCGAAGAAGCATTCGAAGAACCCAAACAAGAGAACTCGGAGATGGGTTTAGAATCCAGTGAGAAATCGGACAAGGTGACTTACGAAGATGACGAAGAAGAAAAAGCTGCTGCTGCTGCTGCTGCTTCTGTCGAAGACGGCGTGGAAGAAGTCAAGGAAGAAGTGCGACCCGCTGTGAGAAGACCAGATGTGCCAGAATACAAGGGGTTTTCGCGACAGGGTGAAAGCATTCCGAGTATCCCGTGTGACACGGGTTCTGTGGCACAGGCGTCTCCGAGAAGGTCGAGTGACAGGGTTGTTGGAGTCATCTCCAACATTCTCAAAATTACTGATGCTTTTTGAAAGCCGAGAAGCGGTTGCCGGATTTTTCGTTTTGCTCACGAGTCAAACATGTTTGCCTGTAAGTTCGTTCGTGAAGTTTTTTTTTTACATTTTATTTCTAGGTTTGTTGATTTTTTTTTTCTAAAGCAGATGCTCTTTCAGCTTTTGACTCAAGGAGCATTGGTTACAATATTTTATTTCATTTTAATATTAACTATGATTCTGCGTGAACGCCCTTTGTTCAGGTCTGTAAAATTCATTTTTTATGCTCATTAAAGGAGGACATACTGGAAATTGCCTTCATATTTTCAATAACCAAAATCTTGCTCATTCTTTGCAGGCTCTTTTTCTGTCTTCCGAATTTCATCTTTTTACAAATTTTCTAATCATTTGTCAGTCACGAA